TAAAATAATAATAAAATTTAATAAAGATAAATTTTTCCATTAAATTGCGAATTTTTTTTTATTTATTACCGTATTATATATAAATGAAATATAATATTTTTGCTTTACATTGTCAATAAATCTGAAAAAAACCCCGAGGTAAATATCTCGGCCTAAATCTGAATAGATCATAGCATATCAACCAAGTGGAGCAAGAGTTAATTCCGTCTTCATTCCATTAAAGTGGGGCACCATAACTTTTTCTCTTAGCTTTGAACAACTGAGAGTATTTGAAGTGCTTAAAGTAAAGCATCTCCGTGCATTGCCATAAAATGCTCTTGAGTTCGCTTTAAGCGAATGCAGTTCATTTTGCAATTGAATTTAATGCTCATGGTGCGCAGTCAGGCTGCTGCAGCTTGTGCTCTTTATTGTCAGTTGGTGGACATTGAGGACGACAGCGCCGCCATTCACTAGTTCTCACAATAATTCACTACATTACATTTCAATCAGGACAAAAGCCTTGCAAATAAATTACGAATTTTGCGTCAATTTGCGGCGTCGGTCCCCAGTTTCCACTTAAGCTTAAATCAAGCGACCAGCTGAATGCCATTGAGTGAGCATTGCATTGCTCTCGACAACGACTATTTGCAGCTGTTGTTGTAGTTGTAGTTACTGTGTGGGTGAAATGGATGCGGAAGTCTCACTTACTTGATAGGTCGTGCAGTTGAAGCAGTGCCAGCAGCAGCTCTCGCCCTCGACATATCTCTTGGCCTGGCCCCGTTCGCAGGGCAGACTGCAAACGGATTCCGGTGGTTTCGGATGCTGCAGCTTGAATTTTACTTCTGCAATTGGTCAAACAAAAGAATGAATATGTATGTGTGTCATTGTGTTTTGCACCTGTTGAGTGAGTGTATAGCACTTACCGGACATATTCAGGCGCAGCTCGCCCTCGTAGTACTCGCCCACCTTGACCCAGCGATACTGACCCGCCACCGACTGCTTGAAGTGGATGATGTTATAGCGAGCTGGACCGTCGCCGTTGCCGTCAAAGCGAAAATCATCGCCGCTGAGGCCTGCACACACACAAATAAATGCTTTGGGGTTAAATGTGTTTACGGCTTGACGCCCTGAGCAACAGAGCCAAAACCAGAACCAGAACGAGAACCAGAACCAGGAGCACATTCAGCCGCAGTTACAGAGACCCAAGGCTGCTGCTTCTTATCAGAAAATTGACAATTTGCGCGTTTTGCGTCAGTCGACGACGAGCTGGCTGGCTGGCTGGCTGACATGGTGCCTGGTGTGGCCTGGTCGTGGTCTGGGCTTGGCCTGGTCTCGGCTTTCTTGTATAATTTATTGAATTTCAAATTGAGTTCAATGACGATGACAAGCAAGTCAATTTTCCACTCGAAAGCCCGACCAAAGCGCCCTGGCGGCTGAGACTAAGACTATGACTGTGACGCAAGGCTAGCGGCCTGCGATATAACCACTTAAATTATTTGCGCAACACTTGCGACAACGACAACGCATTCACCCAGTGAAACACAGTCAAACACAGTGAAACACAGTCAACAGTTATCTAACTTCAAACTTTCGTTAATTATTTAACCAGCTAAAATTATGCTGCTGGTCATATCAAGCTGCAACTCTATTCGAATCGACGTGTGGCCTAAATTTTCCCACAGTCTCTTATAAATAAATATAGACATCTGTTAAAAGCATTTGCGAATGACAGTCGGAACTAAGATTTAACTATGAGCAGCAGTGTTGCTGGTGTAGCCTATTTCTGGCTAGATTTGGCTTCTTTGAACGTAGCCTAGCCTATATAATTTTTAGATAATCTATAGCTATAAATTTAGCACGTTTGCAATTCCATCTGGCTTATTTATAGAATAATTTCATATAGAGTATTTTATAAAGTAATGAAAAATGTCAAAACATATAACAAATAATGATTATATTAACCTTAATATTCGATTTGCATTACTTTTGAAATATAGACGAATTCCGATAACGAGGGGTGTCAATGGATAAGCAATTTTTTTTTTTTTTAATTATATGCTTTTATATATTGTCAAGTTTTACATTTTAAGAGTTTTTTAATAATAATTTAAAAAATAT